CTTAGCAGGCATACGTGTCATCCATTTTATAAAACACTGGGACTTAGTTTACGAGAATGGTAATACGTACCTAACACTTGAATAACGCTTTTCATCCGTAGGTCTGGAAACATGTCAAAAAGTTGACTATCATTATCCCAGGTGTATAAAAAGAGGCAGACACACAAAGGACTTGCACAGATGCATACCCCCAGTTCATACCAAATCCAGGAGTATAATTTGGGGATCTTCACTTACTGTATCCTGTGCTGTCTTTGCTACAAGTGTTCAAGATTCTGAGCTGTACCTAGAAACCTGATCATGTTACATGTGTTTATTGTTTGGAGGTGTTAACCATTCTTGTACCACCTATTACTGCGAATTTGTGCCCAGTAGGATCATAGAGATCACAGAAATCCTAGACGGTTTTTGTAGTGCTGTGAACGCTATACCCTCTGACTATACGTGATGAAGGTGCATGTGCTTAGGAGTTTGAATTCAAAGTTTGTAATCCTGGCTAAATCCTAGGTGCAAGATTCCTTGTCTGGGGTTACACTAGTCCCAGGTTACAGAAAAAATTATGGTATGGGCGAAGAATGTAAGAGGAAGGAAGAGGTGAATCGGTGCCCTGTGTGACCACGAAACTAAATTATTTGCCCAAAAAACGCAAACGGTCTTGGCTGCAAAACCAAGTTTAGGAAAAAAAAACCAGTTTCCCAAGCTATTCTTTACCCTCCTAGAACCACAACATCTTGCAATCAAATGCCTTATCAAGCCTTTTGGGAAGGACGTCATTTCGGTACGTTTTCAGGAATTGGTAGTTTTTACTTCAGCTTATATTAATCTTTCAGTCTTTGTAGTTTGCTGGAGTAGTGGACGTGAGATCCAGTTCTCATCTGAAAGACCAATGGAGTAAATATTGCAGCCAGATTTGGACATGCTATTTTGTTTATGTGACTTTGTTTTGCCTGGCATAATTAAAATGTTGCAGACAGTTTAGAGCTGCTTGGAAGGTCACTTTTTTTGGTGATCAAAGGGAAAACACACAAGTACAGTAGTGATGCAGTTACTACCCCCTGTGGGGGCATCAGCAGTTCGGAAACCCATGGTGGATTTCACTGGCAATTTTTTTGTTGTATTCATAAATGCAGAATTATGTTTTTAAAAGATTAGTTGATGTGCAAATATTTTCATGGCATTGCTATGAACAGGAGGGACCCTAGTGTATTTTTACAGTGCGATAAATATTCACTGAACGAGTAATGTATTGGTAAGTTTATCTTGCAGCTGAATCAAGTTTTAAATCACATCAAATTAATTTTTACATCAGTTGATAGGAATATTTTATTGAAATAATATTCAGCTGTGGTTGAATTTACAGTTGTGATTTTAACCGTACACTTCAAAGGATCTTCTGTTTTTATAAATAAAACTGAAAAATATGCTGCAAAGAACTGTTTCAAATGTGTGTTTACTTTTGTTGGTAATTTCTAGAAAATAGACTTTTAAGAAAATATTTATTATGTTTTTCTGATTGTACTTAAGTGTTGAGGTTGTGGGCATAGTGAAAGCTGTCATGTAGCAGCCATTCATCCTGTTCTGTGTGGGGTTTTGTGTTTGGTTTTTTTTTTTATCTCACTCTACCTTGCCCACTTCAGGACATGTTATTTCCTTTCTAATTGCACCCCACAGAGAAGGGGAAGTACCTTTTGAATGTAAGGATTGTATTTGGATGTGTAAGCTGTTGGGGTTTGGCATGCAGGATTTAAAGCTTCTGTCTGTGCTGATCTGTTAGAAAAGGTAATTAATAAACATCCTAGGAGTTTTGGCCCCACCATGCTAAAATTTCTGTTCTAGAGGAAGTACAAAGAAACAATTCAGAGGTTTGATTCACAGGCATGTCTCATAGAGCAATAAAGTTCTTAACTAATTGCAGAGAAACAATTTGCTCATCTTTTTCTGCTTTAAGGGACTTTAGAGAGAAGTGTGGTCAACAGTGCTTAAAGAAGCCTGCGGAAGAAAGGCAAAGTCACTTCAGGGAGTACAAGGAGCAAACCAAAAGATGTAGCATCTTATTAAAATAGGAAGAGAGAAGTAGTCTTAGATAAGTATGTAACTGAAGGTGCTTCTGGCAAGGTAAGTGATGCAGTTCCTTGAAATACAGGCATCTCGAAGGTAACATTGGATATATTTTTGCTGATGGTTTATTAATTTTTAAAAGGGTGATTTGATCATTCTAAACATACTTACAAATGTGAGCCAAATTATCTAGGTATTTTTGGTCCAAAAATGATGAGGAGAAGTGAACAGGCTTGTGAAATGAATAAGTTCGAGGTGGTGCTATGTTTTTGTTTAGAGATCTAGGCAATGTCAGTCCAGCTACATTACTGGTTGTCAATACGTCGTCCTCCTGTCAGCTGAAGTTCTTGCTCACAGTTAAAAATCTGTAGCTTTCACCTCTGTGTGGCTGTCAAAGCTGAGCTGAATGATGTACTTCTGTATTTTGGGCAGATGGTGAGAGGTAAGTATTGGACCTGTAATGCTTACTCCAATTGCAAAAGTAATGGGACCGTAGCTTTTCTGTAGCAGGTTTGCTCCACAGTTTCATTAACTTTTCAGGGTATATATTACATACTGCTTCTGTGCAGCTCAAACAGGTGTCTACCTGCTTGGCTCCCGTTTGATGCTCCAGTTTGCTGCCTGAAACTGTTACAGGCAGGCTCAGGCTGGCATAGATGGGATGCTTGCGGCTCACTTCCCCAGCTGCAGTTGCACCTTTCTGCCCGCTCCGAAAGCTCTGCCCTATCCGGTGGAAAGACGATCAGCCTGGCTGCCGGAGGTCTTCCTACAATCTCTTCAGTTTTCTGTGGCAGCTCCAGCCTTCTTGTCTGGCCTGCAGAAGAGAGGAAAAGCTCAGAGCTGAAAGCTGGCAGTAGCTATAGGTTGTAGCGGGATGGGGCAGAAGCGCTGTTTGCCCTTATGTGTCACGGACTGGCCAGGCTCTGGGCTCTTGGGCCCTGGAACTGAGTTTATCTGGCATCTGCCATAAACATTTCTTTCCTTCAGGAAGGAGGCAGTTGGGTGTGCAACAGGGTCTTGAACAGTCATCTTTTTGAGAACTACCAGTCATGTCCAAAGATGCAGTCTGAACTCCTACCTACCAGAGGCAAGGACTGTGAATGACTGGAATTTTTAGGCTCTGCTGAAATTCTGCTAGATTAGAATTAGCTGAATTCCTCCCCTAGCCCCTGCTGCTGTGCTCTGGCCTGGCTTGAACACAGTAAGTTGCTTGAGTATTCCTTCTTTAGATGCCATAATTGCTAGCAAGTATTTTTGCAGTATCGAGAGGTGAAACAGTTTGAGGGTTTATAGCTCAGTTACCTCATCTTGACTCCATCCTCACTATCCGACAGCTCTCTTCATTCCTTTATTCTCTTACGTAGATGGCTAGTGAACTTTTTAATACTTGTAATATTTTTCAGTTATTACTGATTGTGGTTTTATTTATTTTGCTTTATGTTTGCAATTTTTTAAGTGGGATTTTTTTTCCCCAGTCTTTGCAGGCTCTACACCTTTCCCTGTCTATGAAATAAATCTATGTTAGATGATTATTCATGTAGATAAATTTGAAGCCTTTTCTTACAACTTCTTATTGACTGATGAGGTGGCAGGAAAGGAGTAATTTCCAGACAGGCACTGACTTGCTCCATTGTGTGAGAGAAGAATCAATGTTCAGAAGATTACAAGTAGCTGCATAGTGCATCCAGCTGCTCTGCATTTGTAAGGACATTTTTCTTTGTTATAGCTGACTTCATCTGTCTTAGAATTTATGTGAAGTGAACGAGCTGTATCAAGCCTGTAGCCCTTGTTTAAACAGCACAGTCAGAGATTTATGATGTATATTATTGAGATCAATGTAGCATGTGTATCACTGTTAGGTGAAGTTTACTTCAAGCTTTCTGTGAGCCTTGATTAGCCCAAGATTTATGCAAAGTATGTATCGAACAAGGTAGGGCTTCACAGTTCAGACTGTTTGTGCATATTATCAAGATTGCCATCCCTCAGAGACAATTCCTGACTCTTTGGCTCTATTCATTGCAGATACTATCAGGAAGTGCCTGGGATTGAGAGAGAATGCTGGTACTCCACATACAAAGGAGTCAGACTGGAACCCTCTTGCAGCTGCTCTTTTGTCTTCTCCCTCACTTACTTTAGAGCCAAGACACAATAACATTATAAAAACCATGTGGTGGCTCAGGGGAACAAATCTCACTGCCCTTGAGCGCCCAAGCAGGAGGTGACTTGCCTTAGTAATGCTTGTGATCTATGTCCGTGTACCACATTCCCGCATCTGTGTGTGCAGCCACTTAAGTGCAGGTCACAGTCATAGAACCTCTTAAGTCATGTCATCCCTGTTTACCTCCACTGACCCTGCAATCTGAGTGTAAAGCCTTGATATTGACAACCATAATGTTTACCTTCTATGCTGTGCTTGATGATAATCAGACACAATTCTTAAAGCCTGTGCTATGCACAGGCAATCCTGTTGTCATGGGCAGCTGGGGACTAGGCAAGGTGCTGCAAAGAAAGAGATTTGTGGGTCTTTGTGAGTGACCAAGAGAAACAGTTAACTGTCGCCAGTGGTACTGGGAGCAGGTGCTTGATCCTAACACATGCTTATTGTTTTTGTGGTGCTTTGGGGATGGCTGGCAGGAGGGGTCTGGGCACTGTTAAGCTGCCATCCCTCACCGGCTCAGCATCATCAGGGAATGCAGCAATGACCCTTTCTTCCTGGCACCCCAACCTATGTCAGCTGACTAAGTGACAAAGGAAAAAGTCCTCTTGCCTCTGGACTTAGATGCAGTTGAGGCATCTCTCTTCAGGGAGCTTTCACAGGACCCCATGGGAATCTTGCTTCCCATGCCTGAGTTCTCTTCGTGTTGCATGTTTATCTCTTTGTCCCAATACTTTCTTCCTGTAGTACTGAACTCTAAGAAAATAGTACACTGGTCACAGCATAATTGCAAAACATCAAGAATTTATTAATTTCCAAGTAGCATAGAGTCTAAAGTTAGGAGCTGTCTTCATGTTTCTTCATTCTCATTTTAAATCAAGCAAATCTATATACATGTTTTCAGACATCTGTATAAATTATGCAACCAAAGTCAGGGAGAGTTTCTTCTCCTGTTTACACACAGTATTTCCAGAAGCACTCGGAGAGATTCCCACGTTTCTTGTACTGTTTCCTGTCCTTGGTCAAGAAGCGGCCCAGCAAAGCAATTCGAGGATGATTTCCATAGAAAGTCTGTAGTCAAACAGCATTAGAGAGGTTACTGTTGGAGGGTAAATGTTCCCAGTGGGAAAGTATGCTCTTTGCTGCCCCAGCTGATCACCCAGCCCTGTGTTCTGACTGGGGGAAGGAGAGATGGCTGCCCAGTGTGCCCTCTGATTTAGATGATGCACTAAAACTAGTCCCCGTCTTCTGCCTTTATATTTAATTCAGCAGACAAATGAACAGGAATTATGTTTTCCATTTACCTAGTGGTTCATAACAAATCTGATAATACTGCATAGCCTATGTTGCAGTGGGCATTGGGGAGAAATGACATGCAGCTAATACTGGTTAATGTGCTGGCCTGGCCTGGTGAAGCTGACAATTTGCCTTTATTTAGAAAGCTGTTTTTCTGGGGGAAAAAAGTGTGGGTCTTAGAATGGAATGCTCTGGGTTACTTGCTCTTTTTCCTCCCCCCCCCCCCCTTTTTTTTTTCTTCTCCTCCACTGCTTATCTAACTGCTAAGTGATTCCAGCTTCAAGAACACTGTGGCATACTTTAGTCTATACTGTTTACGAAGTCTGTGGGTTGATGTCTCGGTAACAGTTCCATGTAGTTTAAAATGTGGAGTCTTATTTTTCTTGTTTCAGTGACAGATGGTCATTTACTTACCTCTTTGATATTTTCCCTTGGGTTGTAGCTGCTGGGACTAAGACCTGGTAGAGGGGAGACATAATGAAATGTTTTACCATTTAGAAACTGTGAACCTACACAAGTCTATACACTTGACACTGACACTATAGCCAGCAGATGTCTTGAACTGGTATGTTCAGAGGAACAGACAGAAAACGCTTTTGCAGCAGCACAGCCAGTTCTTTCTGTGGCACACAGTTCCAGCAGGATCTGGGACTCTGCAGATGCAAGCTGTACTGTCCTCTTCAGCAGGCATCTGTTATGTCTGTTGCCCCCCAAACCATCTATTGCTATTGATTCTGCACTTTCTGCAAGTATTGATGTTTTTTAAAAGACTGTGCTATTTCATTTTGTCTGCTAGCTCCTTCTAGGCCAATCTTTGCCTTGCCCCAGTTTTGCTATACAAAGGTTTTGCTAAACTAATTTAGAGACTTTTCCTGCTAGTATTGAGCTGCAAGCATGGCTGCTTGGCAGGTTTCCCCAAGGTCCCAGTTAATTAAATGACAGCTGTCTGTTGCCTACATATAATGCTGTATTTCAGTAAATACCCACGAATCGGGGCACAATCTCTGTGGAAGCTGGACATGCAAACCATGGGCACTGTCCCATAAACTGCTGTTGTAAATCCTCACCTGCTTTGTTGTCTTCAGTCAGTGTGCCCAAGAGCTCTGGCAGAAACTGAAGCAGGGAAGTGCTTCCTAGGCTGCCCAACTGCTCTGGATTTAATCTTGAATCTTCATCAGCTGCAAATGGGAGATGACAGAAACAGACATACAGTAAGAGTCTTTTGCTTTGAATCCCTGTTTCAGTCTGTCTCGGATGACTTCTGATCAGGTCTGCTGGCCCCACCTGTTGAAGATTATCATGAAATCACCAGTCATTCATCCTCATTTAAATGAATAAAATGGGGGATAGTTGGTCTTGTTTTTCCTTCCAGAGCTGTGAGAAAAGATACCTTCCTGATGTTAATCTTGGATGCTCATTTCTCTGGCAGATCTTTCTTTAAGAAAGTTTTTTGACCGACAGCAGCCCCTCCCATTGCTTGAGGAACTCACAACCTAATCCTTCTGGTACCCAGCTGTAGACAACCCAAATGTGTATATAATTTTTTTCTTTTTTTTTTTTTTAGTCCATATCTTTATCAACTACTTCCTATGCTGGAGCTTTTCTATGAATAAAGACAAAACTTCGTGTTCAAGGCCTATTAACCTGCTCAGTTTCCTGACAATTAAATGCAATAAAATTAGGGGAAGGGCAGGAATAAATGTAAGAAGTCTTAAAGCCTATTTTGGCAGCTATGCTTCTCTGTGTATTTCAATCATCTCCCTCATTTAATGTGTGTATCAGTACAGATATTATTACTTTTTCTGAAACAACAGATTGCTGATACCTGATGGAATTAATTTGTATGTGCATAGAGAATTCAGAATTCTGTAACTAGCTTGTGCCCCACCCCGAGGCAGGTTGCCAGCCGGAGCCCTTAGCGGTGTTATACTTGAGGTAAATAAGGCTTTTGTAATCTGAGCAGTAAATTTCGTCTTTGATAATATATAGCAGACATTCAAAATTGTGGGCTACGAGAGGGTGCTATTATGCAACTCTAGTTGTATAGATGAATATTGTTTTGTAGTTGTACTTTTAGATAATACTGTGGAGTTTTAGTTACTCTTACCTGCAGGGATGGGTGAGACTCTATAGCTCCTCAATATGAAATATATAAGAAAATAAACTGCTGAAAATAATCCCCCAACATTTCAAAAGCTTGGACCAAGATCAAGAACTTGAAGACCTTGGACATCCACGTTGTTAGTTTGTTCACTGTACGAAAGGACAATTGCAAAGGACAGTGGGGATTTAAATGTAAGACCGAATAAGAATACTGTAACTTCCCTGTGCTATGTGTAGACAATTCACATCTCTAGCCTTGTATTATTTTTTAATTCAGAGCAGTGTTAGCAGGTAAACTTGCTTTGAGATTTAAAAAAAAAAAAAAAACGACAAACCCAAAACCACCCTCTTTGATATAGAGTTCTACTTCTATCTTACCCAGCCTAGAGACTCTTTATATTAGCAAGGAAGATTTAATAAGCCTAATGGACATCTTCAAACAAATGGAGTAATTGTTAGAGCCAGCTTGTTCACCCTATGATGTGATAGATGTTATCCGTACTGAGTCATGGCTGCCTGTAAATGAAAGTTACATAGTGGAAGGCTTGAGAAGATGCTGGCTTAGTGAGTACAAGGTTTTCAAAGCAAACTAGGAACGACTGATATCTATAAACCAGCACAATAGCTGTTGCACCTGCAAAGCAGGTAAGAACAGCCATTTTTTAATAGTCAGCTTTATGCAATAGCTTTGGGTTTGATTAGCCTGTTCTTTCAGAACTCATTTCAGAAACTGTTCCAGCACAGGTCAGGTCTGATGACCGTAACCTTCCAGACTTTGTTGTGCGTTTTTACTGAGCCATTTCAGTCTTGACTTGTAGTGTAATTTCAAACTTTGAGGAGGGCTTTTTCAAGCAAAAATTTATTCTTTTGCTGGACTGAATGGAATCTACATTACTGCAAACAAATAGCATGCTCAATACATTGCTATTTTTTGTAGTGTAAGACAGACTTGCCCGTTCTTGATCTAAGTAGGACTGTATTAATCTTTGCAGTAGGTTTCCCCCTTTTTAAATACACCTTCAGTTAAACATAGCTCATTCTAAAGCATAGCAAGAGGAGAGACCGTACAGCCAAGTTTCTTTAAATTACCCAGTGCCTACTAATGCTGCTTCAAAGACAGACACTGTATAAGCCAGCTTGCGTTCAGTGCCAGAAGGCTCAGGTACCTTTGCCTCCTGGATCTCAAAGCAGCAGGAAGAAATATTTAGGGCACCCAACCTCCCCGTTTACATGACTAGCACCCACGGATGGTGTCACTTGCGCTGCTGGTGTTCGGAAGATATTCCTGCTTTTTCTACAGCTCATCAGCACAGATAAAGGCCCCTTGGAAAGCATACCTGCTTCTCTTCTGGTTTTGCTGCTCTAGCCCCTGCTTTATGACCATTAAAATCAAAAGACTCTTACCTGAGAGTTGATAAGACATCTCACTGGCATTGATGATGGGGAGAGACGAGAGAGGATAGGAGAAGCCGATAATAATGAGACAGCAGAATACCAGCTTATGCATCATTGCTGTGTTGAATATATTTTGTCTTTGTCTACCCCTGTAACTCAGAACTCCTGTCTGACTGTTGCCTCTGCTCCCAGATTCACCCGTTATATAGCCACTCATGACCTCATAAATATCATCATGTTCTCTCCCCCCCTTCAAAAAAAAAAAAAATCCAATGAATTTATTGCCCATTGATTCTAAATGGAAACCACTTTGCATTGATGTAATTTTTCAAGGTAACAGTTCATAGACAATAAATTTACTGTCTTATAGCTTGGTGTACAAAATGGATATTATATCAAACCAAGCACAGTAAAGTTTATAAATCTGGCATTAAAAAAAAAAAGTAACTTCCAGTTATAAATCATGAGTTAACAAAAGGGTCAGACGTTGGTTGAAATGACCAGGGCAATAAGACAGCTGATTTATGAGCCTTAGCAGGCTTGACGCAAAGCATCTGATATGAAATGCACTTTTTTTTTTTTTTTTTTCATTTTGTGAGATGGATGGATGTGTTGTGTTGTATTTGGGGTTCTTGTGCCAGAAAAAGTAAAAGAGTTGGGGAGTTAAAATATCTAGTTAATTTACAAAGAGAATGTTAGGGAAGTTCATTCTGGGGTGGTTTGGGTTTTTTTTTTTTCCCCCCCCTTGTAGCATTTCACATCTATTTATTTGAGAAGACTTCATCCAGTGTTGCCCTAGAGAATTGTCTTGGCAGAGAAAGTACAGCCTCCATCTGGAGACTTGCTTGGTACATATAAACTACTTTGGTTGATATTAAACACAGGTCCCTCACTAGACTGGGAGACCCTTTTCTATTTTGCTTATCTTCTCTTTCCCTCAGTTGGAGCTACTTAATTCTGTGTCTGCTAGCTAGGTTTTTTTCCCTGTTTGCTTTTTGCTTTTATTTAATGCTAGCACGGTAGTTGCTATATGTAATCTCCTAACTTTAGTCTTTATTTCTCTCCATCTAGCATATTGTCTTCTCTGCTTGCAATTTCATTTTTCATATCAAAGAGCAAGGACTGACTGGACTGGTCTGTCATCTTCATTCTGTATGAAGTATCTAACCCAACCATATAGAGCCTTGAAAATAAAAAAAGTAAGTTTATGCCAATTTTCTTTCCTTTAGGTGGTGAGAAGATTATGCCTGTTCAGGTTCATAATAAATTGAGGTTTGGTAATTTTCTTTCCTGCTTCTAATCAAATGTTTGTGCCTTCAAATACTGTGTAAAATACTACGAAATCCAACTAATGTTACTAAAGTTCTTTCCCTGTGCTGAATTGCGTGATAATTGTAAGTTGTAAAAGGAGTGAAGGATCTGCTTCCTTTTTCCTTTATTGACATTTCCTGTTGAAGATTAATTTTTGTATTATAAGTTCTGTGGCTCCTAGGCCTAATTTCAAATTGGCTACATCTGTCGTATAGAACAGATGTATTTCTGCTGCAGGTCTAATTCCAGGAGAGCATGCCCCACACATGCACAGTTAACAGGTTGTCCAGAAAAGCTGTGGACCCTGTGAATCACCGAATGGTTGAGGTCAGAAGGCATCTCTGGAAATCAGCTAGTCTAACACCCCCTGCTCAAAGCAGGGTCAGCCAGAGCAGTTTGTCCAGGAGTGTGTCCAGTCAGGTTTGAATAGCTTCAAGGATGGAATGGGACAGAATTTCAAAACTAAGCTTGACAAGGCCCTGAGCATCCCCATGTAAGGTCAAATGCTCTGCTTTGAATGCAGAGGTGGGGAGTGGGAGAGGTAAGAGAGGACCTTCAGAGGTCCTTCCAACCTAAACTTTTCTATTCTCCTGTGTGTACAGAGAGGTCTAGTATTGACTTATAGAATACATGCTGCAGGTGTCTGAAGTACAAATGGTGTTTCTCTGGACTTCTCTTTGCTGAAGTGAGTGGATATGACAAAAGAATTTCTCTACAGAATTAACCTAATACATTTTATATGCCTCTTGTCCTGTGCTTCCCTACGAGAGAAATAAGTAGCTAGTGAGGAATTCTCTCCTCATCTGAGTCATGCAACTCTTCGTTCCAAAACTGCAGACAGTAATTAGGTCTGATTTGATGCATGATCTCACTGTTGGTGCTGGATGCTCTGTACAAATGCTTCTCCTTCAGTGAACTATCAATGACAATGGCATTATCAATATTTGCTCTGAGCATCCTCCAAGGAAAGCTAATGAAGCACTCTTCACAAGCAACTTATGTCCTTTGTCTTCTCTCAAGGAAGTCTCAGCCTCTTAGAGCCATCATGAAGTGCGTCATGTGGAAGTTGGGCAACTTGCCCGCAGCTTATTGCCTTTACTCAGATTTGAAGTTGTCACTTGGACACTCTTTCCTCTACCAAAATGTCAAAGGCATTTTCCTCAGGGGACAGTGCACACGTCATCAGGCAAAGCAAAGAAACAGCTCATCCTAAACAAAGGTACAAAACCCTGAATACATGGGTGGGGGAAGTAAATGTGAATTGCACTTTGAAAACTTGGAAATTGATTTGCAAGAAATAGTGTTAATTTTTATCAAAACTACTCTTTTGTGGGAAAACTTTTTTAAGTTCTTATTTATGCTAATAGACTTTCTTTCAAGTGCTTCAGTTTAAAATAACAGGGCAGCAGCAGTCCAGATAAACTACCTAGCAAGCTCCGAATAGTAAGTATATGCTACCCTATCATAAAAGATTATCCTTAATTATCAGAAGAAACAACTATTCTTGGTTTAGAATAATGGCTCATGAAGAATAATTTGCTAATGAAGTCAAGAAAACTCTTTTAAAAAATAAGACACAACAAAACCAGCCAAAAACACACCCCAAAATTATCCACCTTCTATGTAGAACAGTAAGGATGAAATCTAATCTATAACGCAAAAGTTCTTTCCCATTTTAAAGTGCTTTATGATAAGTAAACACGAATTATTTTAGTCAAGTATTGCAACACTTGGCAAAAGCAGAAATTTAAGAGAAGACGTGATTTAGCAGTAACATTTGTATGAGGGACTTCTTCCTAGGATGTAAATTTTGGTGTAACGTTTTAGCTTGAATTTAGGTTGCATGAAGAGAGGCGTGCAGTAGAATGTTTTTGTATTGACACTGTAATTGCAGATGAGCTTATTATATAAATCTCCAGCTCTTCCTTGAATTTTACTAGATTTTTTTAACTTAACATCTTGTTTCAGTGAGTTATACATGTTGGCTGGTGTGAGAGAAAAAAATATTTGCAGTGTTATTTATTTCCCTGCTAGGGTCTAGCGTATCATTTAGGGGTTTGGGTTTTTTTGCTTTGCTGTCACTGCTGGCTTAGCAGATATCTGTCCTCATTAACACCTAAGAAGTTAACTTTAACATAACATTTCTCATTTTAGCTAATTATTCAGCTTTGTAACTTGATTATTAGATCTATTTTGCATACTGAAATAGCTGCCTTGTGAGGTCATACTTGCAATAAGAGTTTTCCTGCCACTAGCTTGCATTGCCTTATGTATACTCTGCATTTTAGACTGTACTGAAAATAGCCAGCTGTGAGACTGAGCGGATCAAAGGAAAAAACTAACCATAACTTGGGCACTTGCTGTTAACTTCCTTTTTTGAAGATGATGCTTCTGCCTGCTGTGCGCAAGCTGTAGCATAGCGCATGTGGTGTATGTTCTGTATAACCAAATAGCACTATACGGTGCTACACATATTTGGGTACGCATATTAGTATTTCTGTCTTCTGAATTTCTCTCAGTTATGTAAGATCTCTGAGTGGTTCTGACCTAGGTTTTCTTGTTCTGTGGTGGGTTGGAGGTGCATAGGTGAGTATGTGTGCTTAACTGAACACATGCCTCTGCGTAAATGAAGATGGCAGGTCCGTAGGCCTTTCTGAAGATATTTTATTTTGCTACAGAATTGGCAAGTGGTCTAAAAATTCTCTAGTACAGGATCACAGCTGCCAAAACATTGCTCCTTTGTAGTATAGTTTCCACCAGTTTGAGGGGGAAAAAACCCTCTTGATTTTTGGCCCTGCTGGGCTGGCACACTGTAGTCTGGGTATATTCTCCAAGTGAAGCTTGACAAACTGGTCCTTAATTCCCCTGTCCTCTCAGCACTACAGAATTAGCAAACTGAAGCTTCACACTGTTTGACATGAAGGAAAGTAAGTCTGGCATGACTGGAGCTTGGAAATTCAGCACATCGATATCTTATGGGAATCAGATTCTGGATAATGCAGCCACAAACAGAGGAGCAGAGACCAGATCTTGAAATAAGGTTTCTTCCACAAAAAATGTAATGGAACTAACTATGCAATTACAGTTTATTTTTAAAACTGAAATTATGAGAGCAGGCAGTATAAGGAAAGAGAGGAAAGCTTCTGCAGCAAGAATGGAACTTTCTCTTTACCTTTCTCCTGTTCTCGCAAGGTATCCCAAATAATCTGTTCAACCCTAATAAGAAATTATGGTCTGGACTAAAGCAGAATAAGAACTTCTTTGTCTCATTTTTCTGGTCAGCACACTGCACAGAAATGAGTGCAAACCAGCCTTGCTAAAAGGCATAGGCTGTTGGTCAGTGACTATCCATACTTGCACTCTCATTTCATCAGTCCCAGGTATAGAGCAAGCTGGAGACTTGTGCTCGTTTTCTTCAGAGATGCATGTCTGCTTCTGCAGCACTGCTTGCATTTGGAACCAGTAAAAGTTTCAAAGTTGTGCTTCTTTGTTGCAGAGAAGTCTGTTGTGAGGCTTTTTCAAGGCAAAGTACTGGATTTTTGGAGATCTTCCAATAATCCAGAGTAGTCCAAATGAGCTCTGATGTGAGACACAGTGCACCAATCCTTTCCTTCCTGGTGTGGGGAGTGTGAATGGAGAGAACTGTTGAGGAAGAGCTGGGATAGGTGAACACGTTTTCCTGTTTGGTTTTCTGAATAGGGGTAATTAACTTTTGGGTGGCTGTATTTTTTAACAGCCAGCCAGTGTGCCTCGACCAGTGACAGGTACCTCATTTTTTCAGACTGCGTTTCAAAGAAAAGAAACCTTCTCTCTCTGCTCATGCTGGCTTTGTCCC